AGTCATCATTCAATAAATTTCATTGCTATAGTGTGACATGAAGATACAGGCCTCTTCCTGCATTCCCAAGGCGGACAATGACTTGCTAAGAATGGATCAAATTGTGTTAACAGTAATGATCCCTGGGAAATTGCCATTGTTTTCCGAACCAAACCACCTCATTTTCTCCACGGAAAGCAAGTCCTCTTAGAGCTAGGAATTTTACAACAGCAACAACTCTTTCTAGAACTTTTCTCCAATAAGTGCACTCTTTTTCAGTTTGATTTTCCAAATGAAATCCATTAAGCCTTTTTTCTGTGCACGAAATAACACTGGCTAAAATGCAGCTCCTGTGAGTGATTTTTTTTTCATGTTCCTGTGACCCACTCGCATAAGAATGTCCAACATCACGTTCACGAGATGCCATAATGAGGATGTATCACTGTCTGTAATCATGCAAATACAAATTTTTCATTATCAATTATTATTAATTTTTTAGTTATTATTAAATTTTTTTTTCTGTCAATTGGGGGGATATGGCCCTTGTAGCCCCCTTTCCTCTGGCTCCCGCATCTAAAAATTCAAACGTTACCAGAAAGGAGTCATAAAGAACTTTTACCATAGATAGGTTAGTGATTTGGGCATACGAATATTTTAACTAATTCATCTTCCTTGATCTCCAATTTATTTAAAAACAGAAATCATACTGAGTCCAAGAACAATGCACAATGGTATTTATATTACCATTTTCATAACTAAACTAATCATTATGTTTTGCATGATATATGGCCTACCACCATAGATAAGGACATGAGAATTTAAAGAATGCAGGGACAATTTTCAGTTTTTCACCCAACCAACGATTTCTGATGTGGCTTATGTGTTTCTGGGAAATATGTAGTAAATTAATTGATGTTCTACATCACTTCCGTCGCAACTTGAAAACTAAGCATTTGCGACGGAAGTGATGTAGAACATCAATCAATTGAGATCTGTTATTGAAATGATAAAGACTTAAAGACAGGACAAAGTGCTTTTAAAACCTACATTGCATTCTTAGGTTTTTCTTTATAGTATTTTTACCAAAAATGTGTCTTTACTGGTCCATGCGTCTTTACTGGTCAAGTAACCCTATCAGGTACCTTCCTTAAAAATTAGAGGCGAAAACAAAAAATTTATCCATACACATCAATGTCTATCAACAACACTTCAGTTAATTTGTCACAGTACAAGTCTAGATAATGTGTAATTACTACAGAAAATTGAGAGGAATCTCCCATACTCACCCATTAGCTGGAAAACACAGCTGTTCTGATGTAAACAAAGGCATGTTGAGTGTTGCCATCTATGGTTAGGTTTATTTATTTTTATTTTTTTATTTCATTATTTATTTTTGTTTTGATTAATTTTAAAAATCAATTTTACTCTCCAAACACTTGAACTTTTTAGGTAGGGACCCCTTTGCACTTGCACCATGTGTGCAGTCTTGGATGAGCCCCTGAACCCCTTGGACCGCGGGGCCCCCAAATGCGCGGGGCCCTAGGCAAATGCCTAGGTTGCCTATGCAGTAATCCGGCCCTGCAGACAGATACAGACAAGTTTATGTGCAACAGTGAAAACAAATAGAGAGTTCAAGAGTATGAGCCTTTCTTGCCATGACTTCATCTTAGGGGCCATGGTGAAATTTACTGTCCAGTTAGTACAGTTAATACAGGATGATGCTGCTGATAGGGCAGGGTTACTCAAACTGATGCTGCCTGCATGACGCATTGCCGCCGCGAGTTTTTTTTTTTTTTTCAACAAGTCGGCCGTCTCCCACCGAGGCAGAGTGACCCAAAAAAAAAGAAAGAAAATCCCCAAAAAGAAAATACTTTCATCATCATTCAACACTTTCACCACACTCGCACATTATCACTGTTTTTGCAGAGGTGCTCAGAATACAACAGTCTAGAAGCATACACATATAAAGATACACAACATATCCCTCCAAACTGCCAATATCCCAAACCCCTCCTTTAAAGTGCAGGCATTGTACTTCCCATTTCCAGGACTCAAGTCCGACTATATGAAAATAACTGGTTTCCCTGAATCCCTTCACTAAATATTACCCTGCTCACACTCCAACAGATCGTCAGGTCCCAATACCATTCGTCTCCATTCACTCCTATCTAACACGCTCACGCACGCTTGCTGGAAGTCCAAGCCCCTTGCCCACAAAACCTCCTTTACCCCCTCTCTCCAACCCTTTCGAGGACGACCCCTACCCCGCCTTCCTTCCCCTATAGATTTATATGCTTTCCATGTCATTCTACTTTGATCCATTCTCTCTAAATGACCAAACCACCTCAACAACACCCTCTTCTGCCCTCTGACTAATGTTTTTATTAACTCCACACCTTCTCCTAATTTCCACACTCCGAATTTTCTGCATAATATTTACACCACACATTGCCCTTAAACAGGACATCTCCACTGCCTCCAACCGTCTCCTCGCTGCTGCATTTACCACCCAAGCTTCACACCCATATAAGAGTGTTGGTACTACTATACTTTCATACATTCCCTTCTTTGCCTCCATAGATAACGTTTTTTGACTCCACATATACCTCAATGCCGCCGCGAGTATTGTCAAATATTGTACAGTGGTGTGCATCAGCCGGCCCAGTCCAGCTGCCAGATGCACGGTCATAAGTCGAGTGGACGTATGTCGAGCAGATCGTAAGTCGAATGGTAGGTGTATAATGTTTATATGCAATGTAACGTGTTTCTTATATAATTTTGAAGAAAGTATCATAGATCGATTAATGAAAATGTCTTTATTAACGTAAATAAGACATTTAATGTGCCCAAGAGAGAGGAGGAGTATGGAAGAAGTGAATGTTTTCAGATATTTGGGAGTTGATGTGTCGGCGGATGGATTTATGAAGGATGAAGTTAATCGTAGAATTGATTAGGGGAAAAAAAGGGGAGTGGGGCGTTGAAATATATGTGGAGACATAAAACGTTATCTATGGAGGCAAAAAAGGGAATGTATGAAAGTATAGTAGTACCAACACTCTTATATGGGGTGTGAAGCTTGGGTTGTAAATGCTACAGCGAGGAGGAGGTTGGAGGCAGTGGAGATGTCCTGTCTAAGGGCAATGTGTGGTGTAAATATTATGCAGAAAATTCGGAGTGTGAAAATTAGGGGGTTTGTGGATTTAAATTTAAAATTATTAGTCAGAGAGCTGAAGAGAGTTGAGGGAGGTAGTTTGGTCATTTAGAGAGAATGGATCAAAGTAGAAGGGACATGGAGAGCATATAAATCTGTGGGGGAAAGGGGAAGGCGGGGTAGGGGTCGTCCTCGAAAAGGGTTTGGGAAAGGAAGGGTTTTTAAAGGAGGTTTTTGTGGGCGAGGGACTTGGACTTCCAGCAAGCGTGCGTGAGTGTGTTCGATAGGAGTGAATGGAGGTGAATGGTATTTGGGACCTGACGAGCTGTTGGAGTGTGAGCAGGGTAATATTTAGTGAAGGAATTCAGGGAAACGGTTTTTTTTTATATAGCCAGACTTGAGTCCTGGAAATGGGAAGTACAATGCCTGCACTTTAAAGGAGGAGTTCGGGATATTGGCAGTTTGGAGGGATATGTTGCGTATCTTTATATGTACTACTTCTAAATTGTTGTATTCTGGGCACCTCTGAAAAAAAACATGATTATGTGTGATGGGTGAAAGTGTTGATGTGATGAAGTATTTTTTTTTTGGGGGGATTTTTTTTCCCTTTTGGGTCCCCCTGCCTCGGTGGGGGGTGACTTGTTGAGAAAAAAAAAAATTACTTGGCATCATGAAGTAGAGAGGACTTTTAGTGATTTTAATGTGTACCTACTTTGCCAGACAGTGTGTAAGTATATTTAAGTACAGGTCCCACATAAGCATATTTATCAGGTCATATAAATTCGCAATAACTTTAAACACTTGAATTTTTGGAAAGTGCCAAACGTAATAGATGTGCATGAAAAAAAGTAAACAACCGGATGGGGCGTGCCGTTTTTGAAAGAGACCACTTCCCTGTTAGCAAATTTTAGTCATATTTTGAAATCGCCATATTAGCAGAACACTGTAAAGCGGGGCCCTACTGTACATCCACTTCCTCCATACTCCCTCCCTCCAATCTGCTATTCATTTTATCATTACATAACTTTTTGTTACCCTCATCACCTTGCTTTTTCTACAGTTTTATTTCCTTCTCTCATTTTTTTTTTTTGGATACTTCATTTTACTTTCCAAATTCATCCACCAACAATTGCAAATTATTTTCAGAATCCCCCCAAAAACTGCCATCAGCAAAGAGTAACTGAGATGACTCCCACTTTGTATGAGATCTGACATCTTTTAATTCCTCACTCATTCCCAACACACTACCATTCACTTCTTTTAAAACCCCATCTACAAATATATTAAACAACTTGAAAAATCACACATATATACAGATCTACAACAAACAGCTGAAAGCTTAACTAACAATTGTCCCTCTGGTACTAGCAAGAGTAATTTAGACAAGTCACTCAAACATTTATTAACCCTTAAACTGTCGAAACGTAGATCTACGTTCACTAGAGTAGTGACTACGAACATTTGATCTACATTTTTTTTTTTCTACATAAGCATGTAAAATCAAACGTACCTCTACGTTCGGAGCACTAGCGGTAGTGAACGTAGATCTACGTTTGGATAGTTTAAGGGTTAAAAATTAAACATGCAAATACAGCAAATTTAAATGAAATTCTAAAAAAAATTTAAACGAACCACTTACCTTTTTACAAGGCTTCTTACAAGTAACTTCATCAGCTTTAGTTGTCAACTCGGAGCAGAGAATGTTGCAATCCATAGCACCACAACGGCATTTAACAGGAGTTTCAAGAGGACATGGCGGACATGGCCCCTCATGGCACAGTGCCTGGCACTCATGGTATGACCCTGGCACTCCACATTTAAGAAGGCGCTGACAGGGTTGACTGCAGGTGGGAACTGGATCCGAGCAGGATTTTCGCTGAATTGCTCCATCTCTTTCATACAATTTTTCCAAGGGCACCTATGAAAATTAAAATTTCTAGCAAAATTCAGCAAAGTTAACCACTTTCACAGTAGTCACCCTCAAAACTGAAGCCTCTCTAGGTTGAAATTAAAAGTGTTTAACCTAAAATAATGCTTTTCTAAAGGTAATACAGTAGAACCTCTGTATCCATGGATTTAGTATCCACGGTTTCAGTTATCCTTGGTTTACCATGGCCTGAAAATAACCCTTAATTTTGTTTAATAATGGCAGTTGTGATGAATGGTTTGAAAAACCAACAATTTGAAGTTTGAGACATTATGCAAAATATGGAATCTTTTTTCAGGAAAAGTTTTGCCCACAGTGGTTATCAGTCCTTCCTTACACCTTTTACTTTGTATTGGATGTGAACCCATTGTGTGGCAAAACGTTGCCTGAAAAAAGTTTCCCATATGTTGATAATTGTCTCAATCTTAACTTGTGGGTTTTTTTTTCAAACCATTCTCACATCTGTCAGACATGCGCATATGGGATCTTTTACAAAGAATTTCTTCAACACTTGCCCCAACCTTTGGACAAAGGGGCCACTTGGGGACTTTTGGATAGTACCACTATGCCCCCGCCTCCTCCTGCTTCACCTCCCCTGACTACAGTTATAAGTCACCTCCGACCTTATGCTGACATTTAAAAGATTGGGGACTGAACCATCACTCTAGGCTGGGGATTGATTCCCTCAAACTCCTCCTCCCCTTACCCCTTTCTACTTTGTATTGGAGATGAAGCCACTGTGTGGCAAAACATTTTTGAATAAAGATTCCCATATGTTGCATAAGGTCTACTCTTCAAAAATGGCAGTTCTTCAACACCTAAAGAAGCGTAAATGTTTCCCATCAGGGGAAAAGTGCTAATTCTATACTTTTTTGCATAATTTATAAATTTAAATTTTTAAAATAGGTATGTTGTAAACAAAAAATGACTTGAACTTTTCATATTCCAGGGTTTTCGGGTTCCACGGGGATACTAAAACCCCAAAAAAATGCAAAATTTGATGTAATATTCAAAAATTACAGAAATTTTGAGAGTGCTATGATTTAAGTTTTACAATTACTAAGTAACATGGCCCAATCATGCAGACGTATATGACCAACAGAAAAATGTTAAAAAAAAAAAAATTTTGGTGGAAATTAAAAATTGCACACCCATTTTTTTTGAAAGAAATATTTTACATCGTCCAGATAAGGGGAAAAATCAGTCCCACATGGGGAGTGGAAGGGTCATTAAAGGCACACATGCTTAACTTATCAATGAACTATTAATTTTTTGGGAAAAATTTTTTTTTTTAAATGTAAAAGTGTCAAAAATTAAAATAGATAATATAAAAATAATTAAATAAAAAGTCTTTTTACAACTTGTTTCAATCCCCCTTTTTTTATATGCACACAATATAATACTTAGCCCTTTAAGTAGTTTGGGGTTTTCTGCTCAAAATACACATTTAGAAATGAAAATGATTAAGGGGTGCCAGAGAGTATACACAGATCATTTGTACTTTGTAACAGTAATGGGGACAAGAGGGCAGAGTAGAATTCTGGAAAAAAGGACTGCTGAGTACAGGTAAAGTGTAAGGTTTAAATATTATTGAAAAAAGTTATGGTCTAAAAAAGCTTAGCTGATTCCGCCTCCTACATTTAAGCAAGATATAAACCCTTTCTACATCCCAACTCGGCCCAGAAGGCCAATTCCCCCCCTCCTCTTCAAATGATTTTTTTTTTTTTTTTTCAAAAGTTGGTTTTCCCCCCACCGAGGAGGGTGACCCAAAAAAAAAAAGAAAATCCCCAAAAAGAAAATACTTTCTATCATTCAACATTTCCCCACACTCACACATTATCATGCTTTTGCAGAGGTGCCAAAATAAACAGTTTAGAAGCTTTTACTTAGAGTACACAACATATCCCTAAAAATCCCAATATCCCAAACATCCTTAAAGTGCAGGCATTGTATTCCATTTCCCAGGCTCAAGTCCGACTATATGAAAAAAACCCGGTTTCCTGAATCCCTTCACAAAATATTACCCTGCTCACCTCCAACAGTCGTCGGTCCAAGATCTTCTTTCCCCATTCACTCCTATCTAACACGCTCATGCCGTTGCTGGAAGCCCAAGCCCCCCCCCCCCAAAAAAACCTCCTTTACCCCTTTTTCCCAACCTTTAAAGGACGACCCCTACCCCTTTTTCCTTCCCCTAAGATTTATATGTTTTCCCATGTCATTTATTTTGATCCATTCTCTCTAAATGCCCAAACCCACCTCAACACCCCTTTTCCCCCCTTGACTAATGCTTTTATTACTCCACACCTTTCCTAATTTCCACATCCGAATTTTCTGCTAAAATTTACACCCCCTTGCCCTTAGACAGGACATCTCCATGCCTCAACCGTCTCTCCTGCTGCATTTACCACCCAAGCTTCAATCCATATAAAGAGTGTTGGTCTACTATACTTTATACATTTCCCCTTTTTGCCTCCTAGATAAGTTTTTTGATCCCATATACCCCAACGCCCACTCCCTTTTTTTCCCTCTAATTTTTGATTAACCTCATCCTTCTAAATTCATCGCCCACACGTCACTCCCCCCGTACTGAAAACATTCATTCTTCCTACTCCCCCTCCCCAATTTGTATCCCAATTTTTTTTTTATCTAAAACTTTGATACCCTCATACCTTACTCTTTTCTATGTTCACTTTCAACTTTCTACCCTTTTAAAACATTTTCAAACTCATCCCTAACCTTTTAATTTTTCTTTGAATCTCCCTAAACACAGTTTTATCAGCAAAAAGTAACTGTGTCAAATTTCCCATTTTTAATTTGATTCCCATAATTTAATCCTACCCTCTCCCGAAACCCTAGCAATTTCTTTTTTACAACCCCATCTATAATATTTAACAACCTTGGGGACTTTTAACATCCCGTCTAAGACCTACTTTTACCGGGAAGTTTTCCCCCCCCTCTTTTTTACACACCCTAACCTGAGCCCCTATCCTCATAAAAGTCTTTACAGCTTTTGTAACTTACCCCCTTTCCATAAACTTGCAAAACATCTGCCACTTGCTCCTCTATCACTCTATTTTATGCCTTTTTTAAACCCATAAATGAAATAAAAATTTCCCTACCCTTTATTCAAAATTTGTTACTATATGCTTCAATAAAAAACATTGATCTAAAACCCCCCTTCCCCATTGAGCCTTTTGCTCATCCGCAATTCTGCTTTTCTGTTTTACCTTAATTTTTTCAATTATAAACCCTCCCGTATATTTTTCCCGGGTTTTCCCCGTAAAACTTTTTTCCTCTATAATTTTTACAATCTTTTTTTGTCCCTTTCCCTTTATATAAAGGGATATACATCTCCCCCGCAATCCCTAGGTACCCTTCCCCCTTTCATACTTTTTTAAAACAAAAGTACCAACCACTCCAACCACTATCCCCCCCCTGCTTTTAATTTCTGTATATCCATCAGTTCCAGTGCTTTCCCCCCTTTCATTTAGTAATCCCTCAGGTACCTCCACCCCCTTTTCATTTGCTCTATTCATCCTAAAAGATGGTAACCTCCCTGGCCAGTCATGAAATTACCGTCCCTTTTTTCCCTCAACTTTTAAAAGCCTCAAAATTTTCTCGCCTCTACTAAACCTCCCTCCCCTCTATAACCCCCCTACTCTGTTTTTAAGGGGACAAATCCTATTTCCTAGGCTTTTTTAAAACTTGTTTAATCACCCCAAAAATTTTTTTTTTATTTTCATTAAAATTTTTGACGGGCCCTCCCCCACTCTTTCATCTGCTTCCTTTTGCACTCTCTCACCCCTCTCTTCAACCTTTTTTTTACTTCCAATACTCTGCTTTTTATAAAAAATCTCTTGTAAAAAACCTTTTTAAGTACCTTTTTCTTTTTATACACCCTTTACTTTATCATTCCCCCAATACTCCTTTTCCTCCGTCCCCCCCCCCTATAACACAAATTTGCCCCCATTCTAATACTGCATTTTTAAAAAAATTCCAAACCCCCTTTAACCCCCCCATACTATCTTTGCACTAGCCCCCCTTTCTGCCAAAGTCGCTTATTCTCCCCGAACTTCCTCCCCCTTTGTTTAACCTTTACTCCCTCTTACTTGTTGTTGCCACCTTCCTTTTTCCCATTTTTACCTTTACTTAAAAGTAGCTACAATAAAAATGATCGTATATAGTTGCCCCTCTTAAAAATGTACATCCTGGAGCCTACCCATCAACCCTTTTATCCCCAATACATAATCTAACAAAAAAACTTTTCATTAGTGTAAAATACCTTGTATTTTATTTACCCCTTTTTCTAAAATATGTATTACTTATTTCCAAATTTTTTCTACAAATGATTAACAGTATATAATATAAATCTGTTACAGTATTTTTGAATTTACAAAATCAAAAAATTTTTTTTGGGGCTTTTTTAAGGTCTGTCAAATATCACCCTTTTTTAAACCATACCCTTTTTTTAGGTTCAGTTAGTGCTGAAAAAAAACCCAGGAGGGCCCCTACTTTACGGCATTCTCCTGATACAGGGTTTTAAAATTAAAACCCACTTTTCATTTTTTTGGCTTTTGTTCTGCTATTTGGATTTTTTCACCCCTGACGATTTAAACGTTAAAGCTGAGCCCCAAAGTTATTTTTTTCTCTGTTTACACCTTTATGTTTGCACAAAGGCTTTTACATGCATCTGAAGTGAAAAAAGGTTATTTTCCCCATTTTTTCAGTGAAGCCTGGGAAAAACCTAACCGCCAGTAAATTTGGGGCCCTTTGTGGATGAAATTTTAAGAATGTTAATTTAAATTAATGGGTAGTGTACTGTTAATAAATAAATTTAATGGGTTTAAGTTCAAGGCATAATAAGAGAGAAAACAACAGCTTTCTTATCATTACTTAAGCTAATAAAAGAATGATTTTCTATGCTAAAAAAAAAAAATGGAACTCCTTTACCACAGGGAACGTGTGATGGTATGTCGCTCTCTCAAAGGTTTGCAGCTTCCGGGTGACATTGGGTTCCACTGGTGATTATTCATTCTAAAGTGCGTAAGCACTTGTCCCACATTCGTAGTGCATGCCAAATGTTCTTGGTGCACATCTTCAGGGCTATTTTTTCCCAAAAGATCCAAAAATTGATTAATTCCCTAATTTAAAAAAAAGTATTGTTTAGGATATAATGACAAGAAAACCTGCATTTTAACCAAAAAAATCATTAAATTGGGCTCTGCCTACATTTATCTGATATAGGTCAATAATGACCAGAAAAAATGGTGCTCAAAAGAAAACACCATTCACCTTCCTTTTAGTTCAATAAACGGTAAATGGCATCCCTTGTTGGGAAGGGTGTTATCCCCTTTATTTTGTGTTTCAGAATCGCAAATCACAATACCCCCCGCACTGACTGAAGGAAGTTTTAGAGATTTGAAAAAACCCCTCAAAATGGGTGTTTGAATGTGTGGGATGTTGTGGAATGTAAGAAGGATATTGGGACGTTATGAATGAGAAAAAGTGGTGTCTGGCTTTAAATGAAACAAAGCGAACGGGGTGGGGGAATTTCATGAGAAAAAAAAAATGGGTTAGGTCAGGGGGTTTCAAACAGGTTAGAGCTAAAGAAGGGTAGCAATAATTGAAGGATAAGTTATGGCGGGAAAAGAGGGATTATGTGGTGTAAAATAAGGGTAGGGTGTAAAAAAGGGCTATGTAAGTGTTAATGCACCGGGGAAAGAGAGAAGTGTAAGGAGAGAGAGATTTTGGAAAATTTTAGTGAGTGCAGGGGGAGTTTTGCCCAAGTGGGGCATTGGGGTTTGGGGATCTCAATGCAAAAGTGGGAAAAATGTTGTAGAGGGAGTGTGGGAAAAATCAGGGGTCCCAGGGGAAAATGAAAATGGGGGCATTTAACCCTTTAGGGTCGAGAGGCCCTCTCCAAAATTTGTTTCGGGTTGAAAATTTTTCAAAAAAAAAAAATTATATTTTCTTATGAAATGATAGAAATTTTTTCCCCCGATCAAATAACCCAAAAGTATGAAATTTGAGGGGAAAATTTAGGGAAATTTTTGCTTCGCAAATTTAGCGGCCTCCCCCAATGTTTCGCATCGCGTTTTTCCCAAAATTTTGGCCCCTATTTTTGGAAATTCGTGTACTAGTCGACTAAATCAATTTATTTCGTTAGAATCAAATTTTTTTATCGAAAAAATACAGGAAACCATCCATTTTTCCAATTTCAACACCCAAAAAAGGGTTAGAAAA